TCAATTTAACTCCACCAACATGCACTTCAAACCTTTGGTATTCGGGGCGTCTCGTTGACACGCTGGGCATTCGACAATCAGTGAAAGATGTTTCCTACCTCTGGAGCTTAGCGCGTAGGAAGCGGGCCACGCCAGCAGGACGAACATCGAGACAAAAGGACCAACGATACCAAATTACTGATTTTTTCTTCAGTTATTCAGTCGTCGAGAATCTACGATGCTACCTTCATGATCTGTCATATAAGTTCTGGACTGTGACCTTTGTCCTCTCCACATTCCTTAGGAGAACTGAAGCCCATTCATGTATTCGTCCAATCATTCATTCCTTCATTCATCCAAGCGAGAACACTCTGTATGTGAAGCTCTGTTAGAGTTTAGGTTTCGAAAAGTTATCTCAGCTGGAAAAGGGTATGGAACTGGCCAGAATGCACAGGGCCACGTGAGGTGTGAGGTGCAGATCGAGGGGGTGATTACCAGCAACAGCAGGGAAGGGGCGAACAGTGGACCAGAGCAGGTACCTCGAGACGCGAACGTGCCCGGACATTAGAAGAGCTGATCCCGTTCCTTCAAAGCTGGGCATGTCACCAGACGCACTCCCCCTGGGGTGGGCTGGGAGGACCCTGCGACGTCACAAGGCACCCACAAACAACTGTACACCTGCTTTGAGAGTGATGGCAGCCTCCAAGCTTTGAGTGAAGCTGTGCGGTCCCCCGACTCTTAGGAATCAGAATTCGATCAGCCGGTCACCTGTCGGCTTCAAAGGCCTGAGGGACAGGCACAAGGGGACGACCACTTCAAAACCCCAGTAGGTGGATGAGCTGGCCGAGTAAGGACAAGTTAGGTGGTTTGGGAACAGTTTTTAAAACACAGAATTGATGGTTTGGGGCATTCGCAGAAAGAGGAGACCCCGAACTAGCTCCTGGAAATGCGTCAACCCGGGATGGAGAAGTAAAACTACCTCGCAGAGATGAGTCGAGCCCCCTGTGAACCCAGCCCTACTGAGGACACGCCCTGCGGACAGCGCCCTGGACGCGGGCAGTGAGGAAGTTTGGGACTCTCTAGGAGAAACCGAGGCGGTGCAGACTCGGGGCATCTGGAGGAAGCATCTCCAAGCTCCCGTTTGTGTCTCGCGCCAGCAGCCCTGGCAGAATGCTGAACCATGCGCAGGCTCCGTCAGGACCCGGCGCCGTGGACATTTGGACACCCCTGTTTGTACTCGTCAAAGTGGCTCCCTTAGTGCCCATGACCGTCCCCATGTGACCCCTGCGTACCCTGCTCAGGTCTGATTCCTCCTCTTTTTCCCTCCCCTTCTGCGTGAGGAACGCGCCGCGCTCTCCAGCCCGCCTCTGGCCTCCTCCAGGTCTCCCCACCTCCGCAGCTGGAACCTTGAGCTCCCGACCGCCCTGCGCGGCCCCCGCAGGCTCTCCAAGCGCGAGAGGAGTTCCACCTCCCTGGCACCAGGACCCTGCCAGCGGGAGCGAGCGGGCGGCCAGGAGCCACGGCAGAGGCGGGAGGGCGTGTCCGCCGGTCTCACGTTGCAGCGGGGCCTGCAGCTCGCCGCCGCTGGCGCGCACAGCCGGCTGCTGCCTGCACACGGTGCTGCGCGCTGCCAGACGACACTGCGTCCCGCCGCCCAGAGCAGTGCACGCCCTGCTCCTTCTCCCGTCGAGAGGAAAGAAGGCGTCTCAGGGCTGCTCCGCGCGCGGACCCTGAGGCTCGCCGCGCTCCTGCTCCCCGCCAGCTCGGCGCCCGCACTTTTCCCGGGACCAGCAAGACGCGGTGCGCGCGTGGCGCCCGCCCTGCGTCCGGAGGGGGCGAGCGAGGCG